TATTTATTTTTCTTTTAATAATAATTTCACAATTTTTTTCTTGTGATGAGAAGAAAAAAACAAAGGTGAAGCCAAACTTCCTTGATTAAATAAACTCCATCATGCATCCTGTCCGTCATAGTTGTTTAAATCATTAAAATGCAATTTTATATCCCAAATTTCATAACAGTGCCACCCAAAAGCAGCCAAAATAACAGTTGGTTTATGATTACATCGATTCGATTATTTGACTACAAAACCTCCAAATCATTCATGGAGGGAAAAAATTATAAATTCGAAACTCTTCTTGTTACTTGATGATATGATTGGATGATTGAGAACATGAGAAAATGGGGTTATAATTTCTTACTTGTTATAATACCTAAAGTTAGTTGGATGAGATGGATATGTCCCCTGGACTCTATTATTTATGCTAGAATTGTTCTTTGGACTCTTTGTTTGAAAGAGAACCAAATAATTGAATAATATATCATAAGTTATCTTGAAGTTTTGGATTGTTTGGTAAAGCAATGAAAAATATTAAATCAATTTAGAAGTGGGTTGGTTTTTTGGTTTTTTGATTTTTTTGGCTATTTTAGCCTGGGCTTAAAAGCTTGGTTTGGGAAGGGCTTTTTGGCTTTTTGACTTTTTTGAGTTTTTTTGTGAGAGAAGAGTGTAATGATTATGAGTTGGATGCGATATTTTGTTTGTTATGGCTAAAATAACTTATTTTATTTTTTGTGATTAAAATAGTCAAAAAAACCTACAAACCCACTTGCCAAACACAGGCTTATAGAGCTTAGTCTTCAATGGACAACGGACAGCCTTTTAGATGAGAACACTAGTTTGGAGATTTTCAATCAATCAATAAATAAATTGTATTAATTAAAAAAAAAGTACATTGATATTTCTTATCGAAATTGTCAGGATTGATCTAACTGTTTTGCTCTCATCAATTAAAAAGTACCTCCAAGGTTTATAACAAATATGAGGACACTAGCCATTTGTCAAAAATCTAAGGGGTATTAGTGTAATACATCTTATTTAAATACAATTATGCTTGTGATCAAATAAAGTAAAGAGAGATCAAATAATGTAAAGAGAGATCTAATATTTAATTAAAATAAATCTTAAAATTCAAACAAAATGGTTAATAAATAACCTCTTAAAGGTAATTATAGCGTTTGCTAGCGCAATCTACAACCTCTTAAAGAGTACTGGTCATTAATCTTGGTCCATCATATCTATTATTACCAATATTTTCATTTGAATTATATGATCATATGAATTAAAATGCATTTTAAATGTATTCTTTTATTTTTAATATAATCTTAACAAAATTTAGGATTTGTTTGGAGTGTCATAAATAAGTATATTTTTTGTCTTTTTGAACTAAAAAGTTGAGGAAAAAAATATAGATGTTTAGGTTAATTTTTCCTTTTTTTACGAAAAAATGTGTAATAAAAAATTGTATAAATAAAGTATATAGGGAAGAAAAGTGATTGTTGTACGGCTGCCAGGAGGTCTTACAAAGAAAATAATTGTCTCCTTCGGGGCAAAATGTTGAACAGCAATGGTTGGTCCGTAGGGGCCACTATTGGTCCTATTTTAATAATCTGAACCGTTCAATATGTACAATTCGTCGAGTATTGTATGCCTATAAAAAAGCACATTGATCGGATATCGATAGCTATATGATCAGATTAGTTTTTTAACAGTTAACTATCACACAATTTGTTTTGTCTATACAAAACTGATTTGATCATATAGTTAACGATATCCGATTAATGTGATTTTTTACAAGCATATATTAATCGACGAATTTTACATATTGAACAGTTCGGATTATTAAAACGGAGTCCTTAGTGGGCCCCCAAGGGCCCAACATTACTATAGAATTTTGTGACTTTATATATAAAATTTTTTTTTCCCAAACAAAGTGTATAATACCTATCTCTATCGCAAGTACGGACAACACCAGCTGCTCAGTCCATTTGTACTATACAAAATATATTAAAATATTTTTTTAATATTTTTTATTTGTAAATAGTAATATCTTTTTTATTTTTTGTATAACTTTTTGATTTTTTAAATTATTTTTGAGTTGCCAAACTAAACCTTAAATTGTGATTAAAATGTTGCATTTTCATGATCAAGGGCAAGGACATGTTTGGTTTGTGTTTGAGAGATGTGTTTTAGAGATAAAAAGTACGAAAACATGTTTGGTTTGGTTTTTTTTAAAAGATGTTTTGAAAAATTATTTTGAGATAGAGTTTTGGAAAAAGTGATTGATTTGATGTGTGTGAGAGAGAGATTTGTTTGAAAAACTTGTTTGGTTTACAAGTTTTGGGAAATTTTTTTGGGAAAATTTGTTTGGTTTGGTTATTTTTGAAAACTTATTTGTAGAGAAAATTTCCCAAATTTTTTTCAGAAAATCAAACCAAACGATTATATTTTCTTTTCCGTCTAGTAAGGACATTCTTATTCGAATAATGATCTTATATGGGGTTGCTCTTCCATCATGTCAACAGAAGTAAGGAAATGCAACATTTTAAAGTTACATGGCTCTGTTTGGGAATAGGCTATTTTAGTAATTTTTTGACTTTTTATGAAAAGATGTGTAGAAAAGTAGAGAGGTGATGTGACTAGTTTTAGTTAACTTTTTGACTTTTTGGCTAAAATAGTCAGTCCCCAATTCGTTTAGTATTTATTAATATAATCAATTTTTTTGTGTTAGAACTTTTTTAACTTGATTTTTTAGCCTCGTTTGGCTTAAATTTTTTGATTTTTTTTTTATTTTGTAAGAGAAAAAGTGTAATGATTATGGATTAGATGTGATATTTTGTTTTATTAGCTTATTTAGTCTATTTTGTCATTTTGTGTTTTTTTAGTCCCAAAATGATAGTCAAACAAGGGCTTAGTCATATAGGACAAAATTAGTTATTTAACAAAATAAAATAAAATATCGTATCAAAATCAAAATCATTTTATTTTTTCTTTCACAAAAGTTAAAAAAATTATCCCAAACGAAATTTTTTAATCCTAAATTAAAATAATTAAAAAATTAAAAAGTTAATTCACATCCTAAACGAAGGCTAAATTGAGTTTATATGGTGCCACTTTATTCATTAAACATCTTAAGAGGGCAATTATTTATAATTTACCCAAAATAGATAAAGTCTTGCTTTGATATAAAGAGATGACAAGATATGTCAGAACTTGCATTGCGCAATTGATTTTTTTTTTGAATTCAGTGGTTAGAGTGTTGAGGTGGTACTAAGATCTCGTTTGCGGATTAGTCGGTTTAATTAAAAATTTTAAAAAAATATTAAAAAATTTAAAGTTAAAAATTTTATTTTATTTTTGCTTTTTACACATTTTTTTAAAAAAATTAAAAAATCATCCCAAACATATTAATTTTTTTATCCCATATAATATATTTTAATCAAATAACTAAAAAATTACTAAGTTAGTCAGTTTCCAAACGAAACCTAATTCTCTCTCAAATTTTAGTTAAAGAAGGCCATCCACAGCAAATTATTAGAGAACTCAAGAGAAATTAATTTATTGCCACCGGACGGCAAGAATTGAAATGTAACCAATTGTGTGAGGATAAATTGAGCTGATATGGTGCCACTTTATTCATTAAACATCTTAAGAGGGCAAGTATTTATAATTTACCCAAAATAGATAAAGTCTTGCTTTGATATAAAGAGATGACAAGATATGTCAGAACTTGCATTGCGCAATTGATTTTTTTTTTGAATTCAGTGGTTAGAGTGTTGAGGTGGTACTAAGATCTCGTTTGCGGATTAGTCGGTTTAATTAAAAATTTTAAAAAAATATTAAAAATTCTTTGGTTCAGATTTAGAACCGTGACAATTTGAGAGTCCTGAGCTGTAGTGACCCCAATATGAACGGAACGGGAGCTCGTTCCTCCCGGGGCGTTCGGGGACGTCTACAATAAGCGAGTAATAAAAATATCAGAAAAAATAAAGAAAATTATTGAGCAAAAAATAAAATAAATAAAATGATAATCATTTTGTTTGGTTTCAATTTTCAGAATTCACTTTTCAAAAAATTTTACTTTTTTATTTTCCTTATTTTGTTGCTTTCACTGTTTTTTTAATATTTTAAGTAATTTTTTTTTAATTTTTAGACACACTTAACATAAATACACTTTAAAAATATAATATTTGTGAGTTTTTTTAATATAAAAATACAAAGAATACGAAAATTTAATATATTTGTCATATTTTTGTATATTTATTATTTTTTTAAAATATTTTTTTTACAAATATTTTATTATTTAAATATATTTAAATAAAATGCATCTAAAAAATTTAAAAAAATTATTTAAAAATTTAAAAATATTCAAAAAAAAACGAAAAATAAAAAAACAAACAGTAGAATATAACTAAATTAAAATCAAGCTCACTCAATTGGTTATCCTTATTTTTTCTTGGAATGCAAAGTCTCGTTTGGAAATAAATTTTTTTAATTAAAATATTAATGTAAAAAAATTAGCATGTTTAGAATAATTTCTTAATTTTTTATAAAAAAAATATGTAAAATTTTTTTTTTAACCTTCTCACTAAAATTATCACTTAAGGGCATGTTTGATTGGGTGAATTAGAGTATGGAATTGAAATTATTAATCCGTGGCCAAATTATCTTATATTTGTTTTAATATTTTCGTTTAGAATTATTAATCCAATGGACCAACCAAATTTGTAGGATTATTAGTAATGGGGTAAGAATGAGATTATTAATCCAATAGATATTAATCCAATTGAATAGTGAATAGCACACTAATTTAATAAAATTATTAATACTTCACTATTAATCTTACGAATCAAACATTACCTACGATGACCGCTTCCCGAGAAGTAAATATAACTACAACCAGACAAACACGTCAAGCACGTGTACTTGATAAGTAACGGTCGAGCAAGCTTATCCCTATTCTCATTATTAAATCCCCTATTCTCATTATTAAAGCCAAACAGTAGTTTATCTAGTCCACAGTGCCAGTGACAGAGCTCCAAAACAACACGTCAATGGCGTCGATTATTCGGCGGAAGCTTCACAACTACAAGCCCTCCAATCCCCAACTACGGTTGTTCTCTGCATCGCCGCCGCGGAAAAGTAATCGAAGGATAGAGAAGATACTGGTTGCGAACAGAGGCGAAATAGCTTGTAGAATCACTCGGACTGCCAAAAGATTAGGGATTCGAACTGTCGCCGTCTACAGCGACGCCGATACTCACAGCCTCCACGTGAAATCCGCCGACGAAGCGGTTCGAATCGGTCCTCCTTCGGCTCGATCGAGTTATCTCAACGCTTCGTCCATTATTGAAGCTGCAATTCGTACTGGTGCCCAGGTAATTTGGTCCCCTAATCGTCTTGATTGCCAAGAAACGATGCTTTCTGTTCTTGAATCTTCCGTTTTGATGTTACAATTGTGCTACTGTTTGACATTTTGATTATTGGAGGTTATATATACTGTTTCTTAATGATTTCTTAAACTATATTAATCATTCTACAAAATTATTGAGTTCGTTGCCAGTGACCTTGCCTTGTCAAGGTTAAATTTTTCATTACATCTATTGCATTTAACCAAATTGGATGATGTGCTTCATTTAGACTCTTATTGATGGTCAATTGAATGTATCTGATTATTTTCTTTTTTTTTTCTTTTTAATCAGAGAGTGTATCTGATTCTTGATGGTACTGCAGTGGGTAGAAAATCTTTTGTATCTACTTTTGTACAATCTTTGAACCTCCTCGTAGAGCATCCTTGTAGCCCATTTACGATGTTTTTAATTGGGGGAGTTCGGAAGGGATTTGGAAAGAAATGAAAAAGTTAGGTGAAATATTTTACCTCCTTTACACATCTTTTCTCTTTCACTTTCCAATCCCTTCTCAAATCCCTCAACCAAACATAGCGGTAGCCAGTTGGCCCAGTACTGTTATTGCATCTTGACTTGCGCTTTGTCTCTGCCCCTCCAAGTGAGGGCTGAATGGTTCAAGTGAAAGTGGGAACAACATGAATGTGTGGGTTTCAACTTTCTTGCATGGCATGTTCTCTGTAATGGCAACATCTTTACGAGAGTGGACAAGGTGCCCCTTAATTGACACTCACTCGAAATCCTTGTAGCAAGTTGAGTCAGTTGGCGCAATACTATTATGGGATCTTGGCTTAATCTTTGTCTCTGCCCCTCAAAGTGCGGGATGCAAGGTTCAAATGACAGTTGGAACTTGGAACTTGAGTGTGTGCCTTTCAACATTCTTGCAGGACATTTCTCTGAAGGCATGTGCATGAGCACTTTTGCTCGCCCCTTACTCACACATTTTGAAAGTAAAACATGCCGGTTTACCATATTATGTTACTAAAAGTGGACATTGATTAAGAGTACAAGCATGGTCTCATTGAAAATTTTATGAATGGTTCAATGGAACTATTTTTGGTTGGATATATCATGTGGTCTCTCTAGCTGGAAAGAACATTCATCATTAAGGGATGATTCATTTCCCATGGCCAATGTAGACCATGTTACTGGTCATCCAAATTTTTCATTATTTTGCTAAAAATTTCAGTAGAGTTGAGCTGTTGTATAGAGTCTTCCATCATTTGTGTCAGCCTTTTTCTATTTTCTATTTATTCTTCATTCATCATTTGTGTTTAGGAGTTGTGTATGTCAAGAATTAGTGTCAACTCTTCTTCTTCTTTTTTTTTTTCTTTAAAAATATATATATATATATATATTAAGTGTAAAGCAATAACTCTGGTAGCATGAATATTTTGTTGTTGCATCTCCTCTTTATCTTCATTGGTTCATTACTCTTCACTATATGTTATCTTTGTTGCATTGATAGATGGTTGAGTGATTTTATTTTGGCACATGCAAGGACATGGTTTCAGAGTGGAAATCTTTATTTGATAATTAGGCTATCCACCCGGGCTATGGTTTCTTATCAGAAAGTGCCGAGTTTGCTCAACTTTGTGAAGATGAGGGTTTTACATTTATTGGGCCTCCAGCATCTGCTATCAGGGACATGGGTGATAAAAGGTACAAACTAGTTGCTTCTTTCTTTCTCTTCTTCCTTTTCTTTGTACAAACTGAAACGCTATTAAAAAATTCTCTGTTCACTTCAATGGTAGCCCTACTGATTATTGTTAACATTTTTTTAATGTGCCCATCAGTGCATCAAAGAGGATAATGGGTGCAGCAGGGGTGCCACTTGTGCCTGGATATCATGGTGAAGAACAAGATATTGACCTTATGAAGTCTGAAGCAGACAAGATTGGATATCCTATTTTGATAAAGCCAACTCATGGAGGTGGAGGGAAGGTGTGCCAATTGTTGAGTTCCCTCTGAACATGTTTCTGATACTATCATGATTATTGCCCTATCATTGATGGTGCATCTGTCGGTTTATTTCGGATTTAAAGTTTTATGCTTCTTTATTACACATTCCTTGTGAGTTTGTGTACTTGTTGCCTTCATCCTCTTCATCATTAGTTTATTTTCATTTTTAATCTAATCATTGCTGTAATTTCTTTGCCGTGAATTGATTATTTTACTCTCTTGAATATGGGAGGCCATCAAGCAATATGTCATGTGCACTGTAGATTAGAACAAGCCTGGGTATGACAAAGCAGGAATAGTATATAAACTAAGGGAAAATAGAACAGAAAAAACAGTTGTAAGGCTTTACTGCAGTCTATAGTAATTTTTTTTCCTCTTTTACAGTCAGCTCCTCTTCGATGCTTGTTTACTAGTTTCAACTAAGTTACACCTACCCCATCAAAGTAAACATTTCATACAAAATTTGTATATTCACGTTTCTTCCAGTCTTTACTAATATTATATAGTGCAACTTTTGTTCGAACCTCTAACAACCATGTTTAGCAAAGGTCATAATAGGAGTGTCCTTGTTATATGGACATAAATTATGTTTGAGATGAAATTCTCAAGATGTGTCATTCTCAGGGTATGAGGATTGTGCAAAGTCCAAATGAATTTGTTGACTCATTCTTGGGGGCACAACGTGAGGCTGCTGCTTCTTTTGGCATAAATACAATCTTGCTAGAGAAATATATCACACAGCCAAGACACATAGAAGTCCAGGTACTCTTATTTTTACACCTGTTTGTTTGTATTCATCCATACTAAAGTAATTTTATCTGTGAAATTCAGCTTGTCCTACATCATACCCAGTTTCCTAATTTTATTTATTTATTTATATTTGGTTTTAAAATCTGTAGATGATGCATTGATACTTTTGTTTAATGGCATGATAAAGAACATATGTCTATAAGACTTATGTACCGATTCATTGAGTGTTCCTGAATTTGCTTAATGTTATAGGTATTTGGGGACAAACATGGCAACATCTTACATTTATACGAAAGAGACTGCAGTGTGCAGAGAAGACATCAGAAAATAATTGAAGAAGCTCCAGCTGTATGGAACTCTCTCTGTATTTTAAGTTTAGGTTTCTTGTTGTAGATGCCTATAGTTTTGATAGAAGCACTGTTTTTGCAGCCAAATGTCCTGAATGACTTTCGCTCTCATGTGGGTCATGCTGCTGTATCTGCGGCCAAGGTCTGAATGAGCATTCTTGTCAAGGCAATCACAGTATTTTATTTTCTCATCTCTCGTATTTATGAACTTGTTGATATATCTTAATTTTTATGAAAATGATGACTGTTCTCCAGAATTTAAGACATTTTCTTCAGGTTATGTGTGAAAAATTTCATTCCTTTTCCGTTCTCATGCTCCTACGCCTATTTTATACATTCTAAATCATCGTGGAACCCTTAATGCTGCAATTATTATTATTGTTATTATTATTACTACTGCTACTCCTATTTTATACATTCTAAATCATCGTGGAAACCTTAATGCTGCAATTATTATTATTATTATTACTACTACTTGGGGGGGGGGGGGGGCTCGTCACGCATGTTACTCGTGTTTAAAGCCCAAATCAAAGGGTTGAAGAAAAGTTAGATGCTAAATTGCTATGCTGTCGATCTGATGGTCATGCTTTCATAGTTTCATTTGGACTTTACCCCCTAGTGTTGTCATAGTTGATGGACTTTCTGTTCAGGAATGCTTTGTCAACGGTTCACCTCTGATGCATTGTTAGAACTGACTGCGGCTATGCAACTAATTAGAAGCATTTCTTCCGGCTGTTAATCTTTGACCATTTGGATCATGACAACAAATTTATTTATATGTATTAGTTATTTTCTTCTTTTTACCCATAATGAAGTATAAGTGTTTATTTAGGTTTCCATCAAGTTTCTTAAAGGTTTTTCTTTTTGCTTTGCAAAAGTTTCTTACTAAGTTTCCCATTCAATTCTTCAACGTTTCACTGTTTTCCGTTTCCCTTATTTTTTACCGCATTTTCTGCTTCTGTTTCCCCAATTGTTGCTGCTTTTGCTTCCTATTCTAATAAATATGTTATCCTGTATTTTTTCTTATGGTTTTTTTTTTTTTTAGCTTATCTATTCGGCACAAGTTTGTTTTGAAATCTTGTCCCGCACATTTCAACATTTGTATTTGAGAGATCCCTTCAGCTATTTGCACTAATGTGGCAGTTCCTTTCTGATTTCTAAAGGCAGTTGGCTATCACAATGCTGGCACTGTGGAGTTTATAGTCGATACATCCTCAGGACAATTTTATTTTATGGAGATGAACACCCGTCTTCAGGTGTGTTGATCACTCTGCTTCTTTCTTCTCAGCGAGTTTAACAGTAACCAAACAGGGTCTATGTTTGTTCTTTGACAGGTTGAGCATCCTGTGACTGAGATGATTATTGGCCAAGATCTCGTGGAGTGGCAAATACGTGTTGCAAATGGAGAGCCTCTTCCCATGAACCAATCACAAGTGCCCTTGTCAGGTAAAATTTCTCCACCTTTTCTATTTGCTTCCATATTGAATGTTGCTCTTATTTTCTGAAATATGATCCTTTGTACAGTTTAATAATTATCTTGGTGACAACTCTATTTAAATAGATAGCTCTTTGCAGGTTGCTGATTGGACAGAGGAGAGGAAAATTAACTGTTAGGTTTCATATTTTTCTTTCCTTGCATTTTTGCAGCAGAAAAAAATGGTTTTTGGAACTTTGTAGTTTTAACATATGTGCTCTTTCTTGCTGCTTACAAACTTGAATCATGACAATAGGTACTTAAATAACTTCCCTCTTACAATAGGCTTATTGCAAGGTTGGCAACCAGGAAAGTAATTTGGCAATTTTTTAGAAAGAGATATTGCCATAATACAATTTGATTTGATGACAAGTTTGACTGATTAGACTTGGTATGCTGTGGATATTATGGTAGAACTGCAGAGAGGTTTTCTGGACTTGAGAGCTTTACAATACATAGGACTAAGGCAAAGATTTGGAATGTAATTTTAGTATATATGATATGAAGGTGGGTTGAGAAGACATTATATACCTGTTGCTTTTTTTTTTTTTTGAATCATCCTGGTGTTGTGTGTTTACCGGAAATAAAATGATTGAGAGAGAGGAACTTATAATTTGATGGTTGGGAGGGAGGGAGTATATATGAAGGTGGATTGAGAAGACATTATGTCTCTGTTGCAATTTTTTGATCCGCAAAATCATGCTGGTGTTGTGTGTTTACCGGAAATAAATTATAGTTTGATGGTTGGGAGGGAGGGATAGAGAGAGATTTTGTCAAGACATGCTTACAATATCTAAATTCTTAGAACAGATGTTCAATTCTTGAATACATGGTCATGTATTAGAACACATTTTCGTTGGGTTATGTATATAATTGAAAAACATAGAAGAGTTAAGACATGCTTACAATATCAAAATTCAATGACAGGTCATGCTTTTGAAGCCCGAATATATGCTGAAAATGTCCCAAAAGGATTTCTTCCTGCAACAGGGGTTCTTCACCATTATCGGCCTGTTCCAATTTCGTCAACAGGTATTGTTGTGTAACACAATTGGTGCCTTTTATGAAATACTCCAGATTTCTTCTTTTGGGGGCCTTTGGTTTCTCCTTCAGTTAATTGATTCATTAGATCACTAGTCCATATATGAAAAAAAGGAAAGGAAAAGAAAAGTGTACACGCAGCCTATGAAAAAATTCTAATTATCAATCATTCATGTACATACCTCTTTGGGTTAACAGTGCTGCCCTTAGCTGCTGAAACAAACACAGTCAGATATTTACTTTTGTAGACTAGGTATCTGTGATTGACTCTCCCACTACTTTTTGGGGTAAAAATTATTTGAATTTTTTTTTTTTTTTCTAGTGGTATATATGTGTCTTTTCTCTGATGTTCAGTCAATTCCATTTAACAGTTCGGATTGAAACTGGTGTTGAACAAGGGGACACTGTGAGCATGCATTATGATCCTATGATTGCCAAGCTTGTGGTATGGGGAGAGAATCGTGCTGCAGCATTAGTTAAACTGAAGGACTGTTGACTCTCCCACTACTTTTTGTGGTAAAAATTATTTGAATTTTTTTTTTTTTTTTCTAGTGGTATATATATGTCTTTTCTCTGATGTTCAGTCAATTCCATTTAACAGTTCGGATTGAAACTGGTGTTGAACAAGGGGACACTGTGAGCATGCATTATGATCCTATGATTGCCAAGCTTGTGGTATGGGGAGAGAATCGTGCTGCAGCATTAGTTAAACTGAAGGACTGCTTGTCAAAGTTTCAGGTATGGGCTATACTTGGAGATATGTCTTCAATTCACCATACTTGTGTTTATAATGTTTGACTTGTAGCTTTGCACGATGGTAACTCTTCTTGGACAAATAAAGAAAAAAGTACAATCATGTGAAGGATAAATAGATAGTTTAGATGGTCACAATGACATACTTTGTTGACTTTTGTCCTGGGAGATCCCTTAAATTGTGTGACAGCTCAAATGTTTGTTTATTTTAAGCATCTTATTATCTAGTGGATCACTTTGTTAGTTCTCTTCATGGATATATTACTTCCCATCTTACTTGTTCTACAATTAGTAGATCTTAATCTTTCTCATTCCAAATTTAATTACCGATTGTAAATTGTTTATGCAGGTTGCAGGTTTGCCAACTAATATAAAATTTCTCTCGAGACTTGCTAACCATCAGGCTTTTGAAAACGGTGAAGTGGAAACCCATTTTATTGAGCACTTTCGAGATGACTTGTTTTTTGATCCCAGTAATCCAGAATTGGCACAAAAAGCACATAATGCTGCTACATTCAGTGCATTCATGGTTGCTGCATGTATATGTGAAAAGGAACACCGATCTTTGAAAGAGAGGCCCCCTGGTATATTCAAAGCTCCAAGATTGTAGTGTAATCTGTGATAGTTAAAGCCCTCTGAGTCTTTGTCTATCAATTTGTGCAGGGGGTCTCTCAGTATGGTATGCTCATCCCCCTTTCAGAGTCCATCATCGTGCTAGGCATACAATGGAACTTGAGTGGGTCAATGAGAACGATAGTAGTGGTTCAAAGCTTTTGACACTTTCCATAACTTATCAGCCACATGGGAACTATCACATTGAGGTAAACTCTGTTATATTTGAAGTGTGGCTCTTGATGGTTACTTCTTTTGTTTGAATGCACCATAATCAAGGATGCAATTGGGTTTTTTCTTTCCATGCTTTTTTACTGTCCCACAAGCTTTTCCTGTGCTTAATTATCTATGATGTTATGCTATGTTCTTACAGACAGGAGAAAGTAATTCACCAGGTTTGGAAGTCCAAGTAACACAACTGGGTGACCGTGATTTTAGAGTTGAAGCTGATGGTGTAAGCATGGATGTTAGTCTAGCTGTTTTTTTCAAGGTAAACTTTGTTTATGTGCAGTTCTCCTTCTAATCAAGACAATAAGCAAAGTTGCAAACTATACTTGACATTTTCATTTTTTAAGAGACATCAATCATCTCTATTTACTTTTAATAATATATATATTTTCAATTTGTTCTAGGATCGGAACAAGCATATTCATATATGGCATGGTTCACACCATCATTGCTTCAAACAAAAAATGGGACTTGAACTGTCTGATGATGATGAAACCCAACACAAGCCAACCTTCGATACAGCTTCCCACCCTCCAGGGACCATGGTGGCTCCCATGGCTGGTTTAGTGGTTAAAGTTCTGGTAAAGAATGGGACAAAGGTTGAAGAAGGGCAACCCATATTAGTCTTAGAAGCAATGAAGATGGAGGTATGTACTCAAGCTGGCTGTATTTCTAGCTTACTCGATATCCAAATGTTGAGAGGTTCTTCTCTTCATGTGACCTTTTTTTTTTTTTTGTCTAATTTTTTTTTCTTTTTTTTTGTCTAATTTTTTTTTTAATAGCATGTTGTGAAGGCACCAACTGCTGGGTGTATCCACGGGCTTCAAGTTGCAGCAGGCCAACAGGTTTCTGACAGCAGTGTTCTTTTTCACGTCAAGGTCAGACATTGCGTATTGAAATTCGTCACATGTGCTTAAGATTCACTATTTACACATTCATATTACATCCCAAAAATATCAATGGTGATTGCATAATTGGCAAAAATTATGACATAGAATTGTAGAGATTATCCTTAATGCTAAATGTTGATCTTTTAGTTTTCTTGCCTAAAGTTTATACTGATTTAGCTTTATCCTTTTTTGCCAGGATGAATGAACGTGTGTTGACTTCATGACAAGTCTTGCTAAGATGGACTCAATATGAGTTTGCGCTGTAACTGCAATGTGAGTCGTCTCAACTGTAAATTGCAGAGGCTGTCAGGAAAAAAAAAATGATTCATGATGGATGCAATGGCCATATGTTATTTATTTTCCTCATTTAAATGAAGCCTTCTAACATTTTCGGGATGTAACATAATAAATCTCTTTGCAGATTACTATTCGATCTAAAAAATATAGATTCCTTTCTACTAGTCATATCTGCCTTGGGTTAAGAATAATATTGATCAATTGGGTCAAAAAGGAGGAGAAAGGAAAAAAAAATGAGTAGGATTGGTGTTTTGATGCTTACATTGAATTTGCTCACTATTATGTATCAGTTACTATCCTCGTCTATTTTCTCTCTGTGATTCATTCAATTTATTCAATGGCAATGTGACGATAGGCATGCAAAACCATTCAATGTCTTGGGCCCAACGGGAAGTGCTTTAAAAAAGAACATCATCGAGCACATTGAATGTTAATGTACAAAAGAGACTTCTTTTGACTTTGTTAGGGACCATTCGTGCTTTCCACGAACACAAAAAAACAAAAGCTCAGTGCGTCCTAAACAAACCAATTTTAGGTTGGCCTAGCGTGGCACGTCCCTGTGGACAAATCCCAATAGGACCACAAATTTAAATTATTTGGCCATGTTTAGATTTTGTGATTTATCACATGTTCTTTATTTTTTTGATTGACATATGATAATCTTAGAATACAGAATTATTACTCGAAGAGACAACCGAACAGCATAGAGGAGCTTATTGGAATTAATGGATGAATTGCATTTGCATTGCCAACTCTCTATTAATTCCAAGCAGGAATATGAATATGGATAGTGGTGACGGAATTTACAAATTCTACAGATAATATGCCTCTCTGTCTGTCGTCACCACTAGAATAATTCCTAGGAATTTACAAATTTTACAGATAATATGCCTCTCTGTCGTCACCACTAGAATAATTCCTAGGTCTCTCTCCCTCTCTCTCTCTCATTTGGCTATTAAATTTTTATAAATAAAAATATTAGAGGGAAATTATTTAATTAATATGGCATGCAGATGCAACAGTAGAAAAATATAAATTATTTACAAGTAATTTAGATTAGTATATAATATTGATAGTACAAATGGACGAGATAAGAATTATTGTAACAAACTCTATTTAATTAGAGCACAAAGATTAGTTTAGTTATTTAATTTAACGCACTCTATCTTTCTTGTCTTGCACCATTACATAAAGGACACATCAAATAATTTTTAAAATTTAATACTTAGAAGTGTTAGTACTTTGTAATGCTATTCTAATGTCATAAATAAAAAATTAGGTTTTCTTGGGATAAAAAGTTAGTTATATTTTTTATTATTATCCTTTGTGGCTGTTAAAGAGACATCAAAAAAGGCAAGTGGAATTCATAAGAAGAAAAAAGTTTGAGCAATGATCTTGTGGTTTGAATCGAGGCTGGGTTTTTGGAGGCTCTATCTCTCGTTTTACAACTTGAGAATAATTATTAAAAAAATTAAAAGATGAATAATTTATATCAAAAAATTAAAGATTTATTTATTTATTTATTTTTTATACATTTTTTTTTTGTAAAAAACTAAAAAGTTATCCTAAACATATTAATTTTTTGGGTAACTTATACTAATGAATCCTGTAGTTTAAGGATTTTAATTGTGTCACATTTGACCATAAATTTTAAATCTTATTTCAAACAAGGACAATTAAAGATATCATTGCTCAATTTCAAGGATAAAGTTATCAATTTGATAAAATATAAACTAATTTGATAAAAATAAATGTCAAAAAATATTTTTAAATTTTTAAAAATTATTTCTACCAACCAAAAATAAAATTATGTAAAATTGATAATTTTTTTACGCATTTATTTATTTATTTATTTTACCAAATTAATTTTTATTATGTGTTTGGATGATGATTATGTAATGGGTGGTTATTTATTTTCATTAAATTAGTTTCTATTTTTCTAAAAGTCAAATATAGTGATAACTTTATATCATTATTAAACCAATTCATTAAATCAAAAAATCCAAAACTAAAAACATTTCATATATTAAATATATCGATTATACATTAAAAGTCTAACAACCACCCATTATCTTTGGTGGGTAGAAATAATTTTTAAAAATTTGAAAATATTTTTTTGACATTTATTTTTGTCAAATTAATTTATATTATATCAAATTGACGACTTTGCCCTATAAATTGAGCAATGATATCTTCAATTGTCCTTATTTGGAACAAGATTGAAAATTCAGGGTCAAATGTGTCACAATTGAAAAGTCAGAGAGCAAAGTGACATGAGCTTCAAACTATAGAGTCTGTTGGTGTAATTCGCCCTACCTTTTTTTTATCCCATATTTTGGTCAAAAAACCAAAAAATTACTAAAATAACATATTCCCAAACAAGAATGCACCTCAAGAATTAGGTTGGATACCTTATTATTTTAAGCACCTTAATAATAAATTTAAAATTTTATTTATTTGTTTGGACACCCCAAATAATGCCTATCTTAATCCCCAAACCCCTAAAACCTATACAAATCTACTTTGTACATCCCATTACCCATAAATGGAGGAACAGAATCAGAACAGAATTTCAAGTGATGGAGAGGGTTCATCCAAGACAAAGACGGATTCCAGGCAACGAAGGTCTCCTCCTACTCTAAATCCATTGGCGGTCTCCTTCCACTATACATCAGATGAAGATCTCCTCTCATTCTACATTCACCAGTGGCTACTAGTTTCCGGATACTCAGTATCAAACACAAGAAAATCAATTCTGGTTGTTTCATATGGATACTGAGTGCCAAACAAAATATATTTGTCAATTTACTTAATTCCAAGCATATAAATTTTGCTCGGATCTTCAGTGTCGAACACAAGAAAATCGGTTCCAGTTGTTTCATATGAATTTCAATACCGAACAAAATATATTTGTTTGGATATTTAATTCCAAACATATGAAAATTGTTCAGATACTCAGTATCGAACACAAGAAAATTAGTTTTAGTTGTTTCATATGGATACTCAGCATCGAACAAAATGTATTTGTCTGGATATTTAATTCCAAACATATGAAATTTGTTCGAATATTCAGTGTCGAACACAAGAAAATTGGTTCCAGCTGTTTCATATGGATACTCAGTGCCGAACAAAATATATTTGTCCAAATATTTAATTCCAAACATATGGAGTTTATTCGGATACTCAGTTCCGAATGAATTCAGAAAACCAAACTACAAAAAACAATGAACAACAATTAAAAACTACCTTCTCTATAGAAAATTGTTTGGAAACATCTTTTTTATTGTCCATTATTGATTTCAATATGAAACAAAATGCAATAATGATGAATTAAAGCAAATAGGGTTGTGTTAGGGTTGAGTATGAATATGCAAAGTAATGAAAATGGGAAGAAAATAAAGAAAAAGAATATTGAGACTGATGATTAATGGGGTGTCCAAAGTAACTTTTCCAATATCAAGTCTCATTTGGTCATTTAAAATAGGGATTAATAGTAATAAAAATATATAATTAAATTTGAGTGTCCAACCTAATTTTTGAGATATAAATAGAAGGATAAATTACAAACACACTCCTTGAGATTTACTTAAATTACAAATTATCCTTATAATTTTAGAAATTATATTATGTCCCTAAGGTTTCTAATTTCATAACAAATAGGTCATTTTGTTAATAAATCATCAAGTTAATTAACTGTTTTTAATAATGTTAAAATTTTATTTTAATTAATAATTCAGATAATTTTATTGTTGTATAAATGAATAGTTAGAAATTTTACATTTTCAAATAGTTCTGTTAAATAAAAAATTGGTATTTGTAATTTTTCAAACCACAGGAAGCAATTCGTATTTTAAGCTAACCTCAAGGATAAATTTGTAATTTATCCTAAATAAAACCTCTCTTGGTTTTATTTATTTATTTATTATTATTTTTTTTTTTATAATTTGTCTCGGGAAATTCTATTTTCACACACTACTTCATCCTTTTTCATACAATTAATGATTTTTTAATTATATTTTTGTCCTAAAATTAAATTACCAAAATATCCCTTTCCAAAAACTCTAACTCTAACTCTAACTCTAACTCTTTCAAACCATCAGTTTCTACCATCACCATCTATGGCCGCCACCTCTCCCTTTCTCCACTCTTCCCGTCGTTTCTTTCCTACCATTGCGACCCTCATTTGCTTGAGAAAAAAATCGACGCACCACTGCGATCTCCATCTGCCTTCATTGCCTACCACCGCGATCTTCTTTCGCCTTCGTCTCTCTCCCGCTACCAAACGAATTGCCGCCACCTCCACTTTCTGCCCCCTTTGCGATTGTGAGAGAGAGAAAAAGAGAGAGAGGGATTGATCTCAAGGGGAGATGGTTGACGTCGCGATGGTGGCACCGATAATAGCCCTACTTCGTGATTAAGAGAGAGAGAGAGAGAGAGAGAGAGAGAGAGAGGAAATTAGATATCGATTTCGGCAATAAAGGTCGCGGAAGTGGCGCCGACGAGTGGAGGGGGGTTGGGGGTAACGACTGGAAATGAAATAAAGAGGAAGAGGTACCGCTGGTGGCAGTAACAACGATGGTTGCTTGTTAGGGTTAGGGTTTGGAGGATGAAGATGGTAAAGGTATTTTTAGTAAAGTAGAATGTGTATCAAGTGAAAGTTGACAATTTAAATTTATTTAGTGTGTGCATTGAGAAAAGATGTGCAAAGAGAGGAATTAGTGTATGGAAATAGAATTTTTCAAATGTCTCATCTTTGCCTCTTTGGATTGCCCAAAATACCCTTCCATATTTCACGCTTTTGAGCTCCCATTACTAGCGTTTGGCTCAATAAAAGATGCCCAAGCTGCAGCCTAATTAGTGAAACTAGTAACTTTTGAGGATAAAGGATCATATGAAGAACATACAATAAATATGCATATATACATGGTAGTTAAAATTCAATATCTTTTGTATTTTCAATTTTTTAAAATTTATAAATTTCTTTCGTCAAGCCTTGATCAATGAACTTACTATATTATCCTTTCAAATTGTATATAATTAAACCTATAGTATTTTAAACATTCTTTCATTTCCATCCCATAACATTTGCTACTTTTATTATCTAATATCCTATTATTGATTCATTATTGTACTCAAAATACAGATAATTCACCTTTGTGAGATATTTGAGATTGTTGTCTACCCTTTAATACCTTAATGTCACTTATTTATGATAGAATATCAATCAAAACACACCATTATAAAAACTAGAATATTAATCAAAATATACAATACCAAAACCAAACACAATACTAGTCAAATCTTAAAAAAACATTTAGTCATGCACAATATTTAAAGTGAATAAATATCGATCAACAATGATTTAGACCACTAAAAAAATACACCACTAATAGCACTAATGTATTGAAAATGGTAAAAAAAAAGAAAAAAAAAAAGAAACAAGGCATAGAAAGTGGACGGAGCCCACTGCCACATCAGTAGTGCTCCTTCTAGTGCTCCATTTCTAGTGTTCCCAAGCATTTTTTAATATCGAATTCAAATTTTTTTCTTTTTTTTAATTTTTGAGTTGATGGGATTTGAACATGACGTCCAGATATATTTCATCATATTCAAAATAAATTTAAATTATAATTAAATTTTACATACACATATATATATTTTATTTTATTTTTGAATAAAATTTGAGAGCTCTAATTTTGGAGGTCTAAAGATAGTTCTAGTGATATGACAAAGAATGAGTCCCACATATGCTGTTATGTGTGTGCCTAAATTTTTGATTTGTTTTTTTTTTCTCTTGCTACATCATCGGAGCTCTCTATCATTGGTGTTTATTTTTACAATAATGTTTGAGAGCTCTAATGTAACTCTAATAATGTGGAGAGTATCAATGTGAAGGTGAGACCCACACCTCTCTCTCTGGCCACGTTTGTTTAGCTTATTAGGTTGGATAGGATTATTAGTGAGATGATTGTTAGTTAAGAGATTATTAATGTATGGATTGTTAATGAGAGGATTAAATAAAAGTGTGTTTGTTTTGATGATAGTGTTAGAGATGATTAGTGATAAGATTATTAAATTATTTTTATATAAAATAAATAAATAAATTATTTCTATATTAAAAAAAACTAAAACAAATATTAAAACAAATAGATGTATTTGGTAAAAAAAATTTTAAAAAATAAATTTTTTTATATAAAATAGACTTAATCCCCTCATTATTTTCCTAGTCCCACCTAAAATTCACCCAAACTAATCCCCTATAAAGGGGGATTACTAAGCTCTCTCCACTACTAATCCTATGACATTTTGTTGTATCCAAACAAGAGTTTGGTAGGTCCCACGGATTGGTAATCCAATCCACTCTCCCAAAGCCCCCAATCAAACATGGCATCTATCTCTCACTACTATCTCTTTCTTCCACCTCATTAGAGTTCCATTTAGAACTTTCAAATTAAAATTATGTATCATTACACTTAGGCCACGTTTGTTTGGCGGATTAGGTTGGATGAGATTGTTAGTGAAATGATTGTTAATGTGAAGATTGTTAGTGAGGGGATTAAGTAAAAGTATGTTTGTTTTGATGATAGTGTGAGAGATAATTAGTGATGGGATTGTTAAATTATTTTTATATAAAATAAATAAATAAATTATTTATATATTAAAAAAAATTAAAACAAATATTAAAGTAAACAAGTGCACTTGGTAAAAAAAAATGAAATTAAAAAAATAATTTTTTTTTATATAAAATAGACTCAATTCCTTCACTATTTTTCTAATCTTATCCAAAATCTATCTAAACTAATCCTCCTATGTAAGGGTATTCCTAGTCTCATGGGACTACTAGTCCCCTCTTATTTTTGTCAACCAAACATAAACTATGTAAGGTCCACGAGATTTCTTGTCCAATCACCCACCTATAAAGCCAAACAAATATGGCCTCATTTTAATACAAATAGCATTATTAAACCCAAAGGCATATTTATGTCAAATCAAGGGGAACATTGGTCGGAATACAAAGATCTTCGACCACAAATAACAAATTCGGGTTTGTTTGATTTTAATTTTTTTAGTTAAAAAAATATAAAAGATAAAATAAATTAAATATGTCAGTTAAATTATAATTATTTTATTTTTTTTGTTATAAAAATTAAAAAATCAAATCAAATAAATTTTTAATCTCAGATTAAAATAATTAAAAAATTAAAAAGTTAACTAAAAAAAGTCTATTGCCAAATGAGGACTAACAATAATAAAAAATACATTTTTTTTGGCAGCATTATTTATTAAAAAAATTAATAATTATTAATATTTACAAAACTTATCATTTAACTAAAATTATTTTTTAAAAACCTGGCTGAATTGTAATTTCGTCCTATTTAATTTCTGTTTGATTCGAAAGCTAAAAAAGAGTCGTGGTGAGCAGCAATTTTTTTCTCCCCCCGTCTCTCTCTCTCTCTCTCCTCCTGTCTTCTCTTTCTCTCTCTAGAAATTCTTTTCTCTCTCATCCACAATGCCTTACGTCTCGCTTTGAAATTGTTTGATGTGATGTCATGCCCTCCTTCCCTAAGATTAGCTTGAGTTTTCCGCTCTCTCCCTTGTTAAGATTTGATTTTTATCCTTTTTTTTAGTCGTATCTAATCGATTCTTTCGTCATTTATTTTGTTGGGTTTTAGCCTTAGATTCTTTATTTATTTTAAAAAAAAAATTCTGTTTTGTTAGGTAAGATTTTCTTTGAGTTCACCTTTGTACTAGAGTCCTAACTTATTAATGGTTTGTTGATCTTCTATTATTCGAGTTGGGTTTCAATTTTCACTCTCTTTTTATTAATTCTTGAAAATCTTGGTCCCAAAGGAATAGCTTGACAGTAATAGCTAACGTGAAATTTCGATTATTCTTTCCATTCAATTTTTCCCAGAAAATATTGATCAAGATTATCAACTTCTCTCTGCTACCTTGTTTTGGAGTTATAGTCTTGTATTTGAGTCTGCAAAAATGGATTTGAAGATTGGTGGAGGAGATAGTAACACACAAGAGGGGGAGTTGGGGTTGAAGGAAAAGGATGTGGGAAGTATTAGTAGTAAAGATATGTTTTTCAGAGCAGATAAGATTGATTTCAAGAGTTGGGATTTACAATTGGAGAAACACTTGAGTCGAGTTTGGTCGAGGGATAGGGAAGTTCATTCAAAGAGAGAAGAGTGGGAAATTGATTTAGCTAAATTGGATATAAGAAATGTCATTGCTCATGGGACATATGGTACCGTGTACCGGGGCACTTATGATGGCCAGGATGTTGCAGGTGATTCGACAGTTACCTATGCTTCATTCTGTTTAGTCAATCTGGAATTAATTTCATTCTCATCAGATTAAAAGACGTGTTAATTCACATTATAGGCAATCTATACTCTAGCTACTTAATGCTTTCAATTTTGAAGTTGTGATATGCTTATTTTGGTCGTAATTTCTTGAATTAGTCTACTTTTTGGTTGGTTTCTTTTTAATTGGATCATTGAATTGATAATTTCATTCTCCATGATTGCAATTTTTATTTGGTTCCCCCCCCCCCCCCCCCCGGGGGCTTTTCTTCAATGATTTCCATGTGAAACATTATTTTGTAATGGGTAAAATGATACTTATTTTTGTTTTTTGTTTGAATAGTAATGATACTATATATTTTTTTCTTCTTTGAATAGCAATCAAAATGGAACAGAATAAGAAATTGCCCTCCTCATTTCGTTAGAGCCTTAGAGGTTTTGTCTAGAATGTGTTCTCCTATAATCCCCTCAATCCTTTTCTTTTAGGATGAGGGGTCACTGCGGTGGTGCCCCCTGCTGTGGCTGCTGTGCCGGTCAAAACGGCACCGTTTTTTTTTTGTTTTATTTTTTTTTTAGGATTTCATTAACTTCTTATTTCATTACCACAAAAAAAAAAAAAGGGAGAAAAGAAAAGAAGAAGAAGAAGGGACACAGTTTCACCTTTTTTTTTTTTTTTTTTTTTTTTTTTTTTTCCTTTTTTTTCGGCATGATAAATTACACTTTATCCCTATATTTGGTCACTTTTTTACTTTAATTCTTAAATATATATATATATATATATATATTTTAGGGTTTTAATTTTTAAAATCCTTTCTTTTAATGCTAGATTAGCCATTCAATTAAAAGGGTGTTTAGATTTATCTATCTTTTTTTTTATAAAAATCACACTTCAATATTTTATGCTTTGTGATCTAAAATATATGAACACTACTACTAGAAAATGTAAGAGGGAGTTCAATCTTTTGAATGCATAACAATGATAACATCGCTTATCTACTGCTTTACATACACTTGGTTCCGGTTTCGATAAATGGGTTTCAAATGATAGCATTTGAGGTTATTAAATTTTATAAAAATATATGAGAGATGGACCACTAAACGAAAAGATAGAATAGAGCAAGAAGAACAATATTTTACCATTATAATCATTAGCAAGAAGGATTTCAAATAACTACTTTGATATTGTCATTTCAAATCCATCATAATAAAGCTCTCAAATTCAATCTTGAAATCCATATCTAAGTTGAAGTTACTATTATTCTTAGTTTACACCTTATTGAATATTGTGTCTAATGATCAGTTTTACATTATCTTTATGTAGATGTATCTATAACATATGTTTATACTTATGTTTATGCTTGTAAGGTATATATAATCTATTGTAATTTTTTTTTCTGTATGTAATCTGTTGTAAATATCAATGTACTGTTAATTATCAACACCATAGAATAAGATACTTAAAAAAAAAGTTCTGTTTAATTCTTCAGATTGAACCTTAAAATTGCATTTATCTAGTAAATATCACACATTTTTGTTTATATCAATATTCTCACAACTATATCTTTCATAATATAATAGTGAAGGTATTGGATTGGGGTGAGGATGGTATTGCCACGGCTGCTGAAACTGCTGCTCTTCGGGCGTCGTTTCGGCAAGAGGTGGCTGTTTGGCAAAAACTTGACCATCCAAATGTTACAAAGGTAAAGCTTTTTCTTTTTTCTTCATCTTCTCTTCCTCCTCATCTTTTTGTAACATGCATGCGAAGCCTGATGGTTCTATATTGCAATACCACTTTATTCTGCCATATAACCTAATAACTTTACCTACTAATTTGTAGTCATCATACACTTAAATTTGGCTTCTATTTTTTTTTTTTTTCCTCTTTTGATAAAATACATTTAAATTGCTTTGTTTGTCTGAGACTGTTCCTCATTTTCTTCCTTTTTAAGGCTTGTGTGAAATGATTTGTTTTCTCTCCTATGTGTTTTGATATTATGCTACTCATTTTCTTTATAGTTCATTGGAGCTTCTATGGGAACATCAAATCTTAAGATTCCTTCTGACAACACTTCAAGTGATGCTCATAATTCCCTTCCCTCCCGAGCTTGTTGTGTCGTTGTTGAGTACCTTCCGGGTGGAACACTAAAGAAATACTTAATTAGGAATTGGAGAAAAAAACTTGCCTTTGGGGTTGTGATTCAACTTGCTTTGGACCTTTCTAGAGGGTGAGGCTAGTTTCTCTTATGATTGGATTGAAATCCAAACGGAAATTTTGTTTACATATGTTTTGAATACTCTGTTTTTTTCTTTTTACAGTTTGAGCTATCTTCACTCGAAGAAGATTGTACATCGTGATGTTAAAACAAGAAATATGTTGCTAGATCTCCGCAGAACTCTAAAAATTGCTGATTTTGGTGTTGCTCGAGTTGAAGCTCAAAACCCGAGGGACATGACTGGGGAAACTGGTACCCTTGGGTACATGGCCCCCGAGGTATTTGCACCTTGTTACTCTTCAGGAAATCAAATTTCATAAATGGAAAAGCTAAATGGTTGAAATGTCCAAACAATCTAATGGCATAATTTTTCAGGTCCTCGATGGCAAGCCTTACAATAGGAAATGCGATGTCTACAGTTTCGGAATATGCTTATGGGAAATCTATTGCTGTGACATGCCTTATCCTGATCTTAGCTTTGCCGAAGTATCTTCTGCAGTTGTTCGCCAGGTTTGTCGCTGCATATGCAAAACATTGTTTCAAGCATTTTCATCATGTATGTAAGCTTGTATGCATCTGGAATGCATCCACATTTAGAATCACCCAATAGGAGATGAGTTGAAAACAAGCTCAATCAATCCCCGTGTGCCTATGCTAGTATATTGATGATAAATTACCTTCTTTTAGGATCAACACATTTCATAGATATGAAAGTTCTAGCTTTAAATGGGTTGGATGCTAATTTGTTTATAAGGGTGCTTGGGTCGAGCAGGACCCTCCTAGAGACTTATTTTTGTTGCAGCTTGCAGGCTTCTTCATATGACTCTATATTGACAATTATAACTTTTGAATTGGTTTTTGATAGAATCTGCGCCCAGATATCCCTAGATGTTGCCCGAGTTCATTGGCGAGCATCATGAAGAAATGCTGGGATGCAAACCCTGAAAAACGCCCAGAGATGGATGAGGTGTGGGGTTGTTAGAAGCCATAGACACAAGCAAAGGAGGTGGCATGATACCTGAAGACCAGGCTCATGGCTGCTTCTGGGGCGACTGCCGGAAGACAAGGAGTTCCCCGTGCGCAAAGAACTTTGATGAGAATGGAAACCTTTCCCAGCACACGCGGGTACCATTCACAGACGGATAGCAAGCGAAAAATCATGGATATTCCCGAGGTTTGCTGGAAACAGAGCAGCCATTGAGCCTGGTCTTATCAGTATCCCATGTCGCACCC